CTCCAAAAAAAAAAAAAAAAAAATCCTTAAAAGGAAAACTTTCATGTAACACGTGGCTTCTCCCTCGGCCTCCTCTGTAACAACCCCATTAATTATGTACTCTACCAAGAGTCCTATCTATTTATGGCACTAAACTATCAGACTTCCCAATCCTTGATAGTTTCCTTTTAAATTTGAAATTCTCCAGCTATCACCCCTCAAAAGGCGTCTTGGATTCTTGGAAACTTAACGTAATCATTATATCCAATAAGATCCTCTGTGCATAATTCGGCTGGTTTCTCAAACTTCTCTACGCCATTCTTTTCAGCCGCAAAACAAAGTATATTTCGTGTTCCAGTAAAACTCCTAACCATTTATGGCATTAAACCATCCGACTTCCAAAATCTTTAAAAACTTCCCTTTTAAATTTCAATAACTTCAACTACCAATCCTTGAAAAATGTATCTGAACTTTAAATACCTCCCTCATTGTTTCTATATATATACATCTTCTATTCTCAACATTTAACCACAAAGAACTATATTCTTCTCTCTTATACTTTCTTCCTCTCCACCCAGAAACCCTAAAGGGAAAGGAAACTTAGCCTGCAAGAATCACAAACTATGGCTCCAAAGAAACCTTCCAAACAAACCACTAGTTCATCCCTGCCAGCCCCTTCCCTTCAAACTAAAGTCAAAACTCGAAGCCATAGCCATTAAGTTCAAGTGATGTTGAAGTCCTTAAACCCTACTACGCTTCACCTTGAGCCTCTGGTTCATTTCAAAGACTCTTCAGTTGAATTGGGTCTAGCTTTTACTGAAGTAGCCCCTTCTGAATTGGCCGAATTTTATCCTTCCGGTAGGTCTCTTCTCCCCTTCGACTCAGAATTTCCCCTCATCTCCAAGAAAGGAAAGAAAGTAAAACCTTCTTTGAACATCAAAAATTGGCCAACATACCGCTCATCTTAGTCTTCTTGGGTAAGTCGCATTTCCAAGGATGAAAAGATTTCTTCGTAGTGGAAAAAGCAAGGCATATTTGATATCATACAAATCAGTAAGTCTTCCATTACACTTAATCCGAACCTTCTCTTTCTAGCTCTCTTCTTTTGGTCTTCAACCACTAACTCTCTACACCTTAAATGTGGTATGATGTCTCTTACTTTGAGAGATATTTGTTGCATTATAGGTCTTAAACCCCATGGAGATAATATAAGTGCCACCCTCTATATTGATCATTTTTTCTTTCCTACCAAAAACACTGGAAGTAAGAAATTCATCTCCTCTTATCTTCCTTTTATCAAATATCGTAAGAAAATCGGGCTAGTTCAAGAAGAAGAACACACTGTTTTCCCGATCTGTTGGCTTTCTGGCCATTTATCGTGTGTTCCATCTGGGCAAGTCACAAAAGACTTTGTCCAAGTAGCTATTTCCTTAGCCAGAAATGGAGATTTGGCCCTGGCCCCTCTTGTGCTTTCTCACTTGTACAAAGGCTTGAACGACTTGCTTTCTTCAAAATTTTCAAGGTTCCAAGGTCCATTCTAGTTATTCCAGATGTGGCTTAAAGTGTATTTTCAAAGTAGAACTTCACCCCTAGCCATTCAAACTGGAAAATCCCTCATATGCTACTCCCTGATAACAGCAGACCCTTCTTCTTTCAGCTTTGTTGAAAACTTTGAATACTTCTATAATCAATGTGAGACTAGAGATGATGGATTCTTTGACCCATTTACTTCCCTTAACCGTATGCCATCATGGTTGGTTCCTTCTCTTGGAGTGTCTACCAAAAAATATTATGCAGATTGGAAGAACATTTGGGCTAGCTTTCTTCTTGCCCGTGATCTTCATTACAGCACTGCCCAGCCTACTCTAAAGAACAGTTTCTGCGGTGTTGAGTTCTACAATCCAGCCCAATTGGCTAAGCAAATGGGTTTTACCCAAATGATTCCTTTGCCACCTTATAAGTCCTATAACAGGTTCTTTGACCAACAAGTAAGGCTCACAAATGCAGAGTAATTTACAGCAATTGACAAAGCTTATGCAGCGGAAAAAGCAACTTTCAACTTTTAAGGCTATACTAGCAAGCCTCGGTCAACCAATGAATTTGATATATGGTGGTCAACTTATATTTCTTTCACTCGGACAAAAAATCACAAGGTTGTCTGTGACTCCATCTTAGCTTCCTTCAAGCCTTTATCTCCAGGTACAAATATATTTATTGTAAATTTCCCTTTTGAATTTTGTCAACCTTCCAAATACTATAAACTAATCTGACAATTCCTAGACAAAGAAGAATAAATACTCGAGGAGAGTGAGGAGGATGAAGGTGGAGAGAAAACTACTGTAATGCCTAACAAAATTGAAGAGATGGCCAAAAGTGGAGATGTAAGTGTTCAAAGTATTTCCTCAAGTGAAGATAAAGAAGAGAAAGATCTTGAAGAAGAAAATGTAGAACTACCAGAGGAAGAAGAAGATGCTTTGTATAAAACAAATGGAAACGAAAAGGCTTCTCAGGTACTTTCAATATGACTGGACTCAATTTTCTATATTCTGGATCTCACTTATGCTTCCTTTATAGGGACTAGCTATTGTCAAGAAAGAATTCTAACCCCAGTTCTCCTCTTTTGATGAAGATTCCTTTGATAAAGAAGTTGGTATTTCCAAGGGTCAAACCGCTACTCAACATTCTAGCAAAGCCCTCAAAATGTGCAGCCCTTCTGAAAAGATTGTTGGAAAAACAAAGAGAAAAATCATGCCTAATCTGGAAAAAAATAGAAGAATTCCAACAGCCCAGAGACTCTCCAAAGTATAAAAAAGTCAAAACCAAACAAAGAAGTTGTTTTGGTAAGTCTCTATTCCTACTTCTTTCCAAATTCGTCACTAAAAAAAAATGTTTGTAAATCTCCTTCAACTTGACTAATAGGGCTCTTCCATGGGACACAAATTCATGAATATCCATTTGGACTAACAAATTGCCCAAGGAGAGGATTTAGCCCTTCAAGCTTCAATCATGGAAAGTTTGACCAACAAAAAAGAAGAAAGTCTGCCCATTCCAACTTCTACTACTAGAATATCTATCCCTTCCAGAACTGGTGGAACTTCTGCAAGCCAAGTTCCTTTCATTCCAGAAGCAAGTTTCCATGCTTTTAAACTTTGCCTCCTTTCTTTCTTTCTATCTAATACAAACTTGTTCTCATTTCAGGCCACTCCTTCTATGTCTACCTCAACCTTTTTCATGGTGCAGAGAAGAGCCCTTCCAGCTTTGGCCGATCTTTATAAAGTAACTAAGGCCACCAAATCTTCCAGTACTTCTACCTCAAGTGCCAGTGTCCTCATGCTTCCAGGACCCCTTATATGATGCTATCACAGTGGCTAAAGGAAAATTATTGTCTTAACTTGCCTATGATGTATAAGATGTGTTATCTTTTCACCAAAGTCTGGCCAGCACTTAATGACCCTTAAAAATACCCTAAATTTCCTGAGTCCATCCAGGCTTCTTTGACCAAGCTGCAACACCAACTCCAATTCATTGTCACCCATGTGAGCTCCAGTACTTCCACAATTTCTGAATGTAAAAAGGAGGCCAAGCTCAAAGATAAACCTCTTGAAGATTTCCAACTCTCATTAGAACCCTACCCAGAAATCAAAGAATGAGCTGAAAAGCGTATAGCCAAGAAAGAAAGCTTAAATGAAGAACAGGCCAAGATTCAAAGGGAATTGGAATAGGTGGAACATGTAGAATTTGAGTTGGACCAAACAGCTAGTGCGCTTGTCAATACATCCGAACCTTTAAAGAAGGAATGGGAAAAACGGGTTGATGAATTTCCCAAATTTGAGGATGCTAAGGTTAGAGCATTGGCTACTCTTGGAGAAGTAAGGAAAATTTGGATGGAACTTGAAGGTGCTCTTGCCTCTATTTGATCCCAGGTGGTTCTTCTATGTGGTTGCTTTTATGAAAATTATGGTGTAATGGATGGGAATAAGTAGATAACTTTTGAAATCACTTACATGGCCAGCTTTTAGGGTTAACAGCCATTTTTTGGATTTGTAATGGAGTCTAGTATCTAATGGGATGATGTTTTATTTCTCCATCCTTTACATGTACTTTTATAATAGATATATGAAGACTTTAAATCATCGAAACTGGAAAAACTCCTTCACATGTATTAACAATAAGGCTTAACCATAAAATGACTTTCCATAACAAAGGAATTCAGAGAAATAAAAGAAATTGCCATAATGGAAATGCATATATATATAGGCAAGATGAACAATTTCCAATATGAACAAAACCTGGACTATGTAGTGTAGCCACTTTCTCACTGAAGTCTTCGATACTTAGGAAATTAGCTGATCTTGAAAATATAGCTAAATCCACCTTATTACTCTAGCCAATATACCTTTCCAAGTACTTAGCCTCTTCTTGAAATGAATCATTCCTCCATTTTTACTTAGCTAATAGAATGGCCATAGCATGGCCAACATATCTCATTTCTAACTTTCTGGTTTACTTAGAAAGAAATATACCAGCCACATTATGTGGCCAGTTGAATGACTGTGGATTTCCAATCTTCATAGATGGAAGGGTGATACTCTTTCAAGTATACACTATTCACAAGATGCTTGTGGGATCCTCCATCTATATCCATCAATTTATAAGCCCATTTTCCAAGGACTCGTTCCACCAAGTAAGGACCATCCCAATTAGGATTCCATTTTCCATATTCCAAAGTTTTGATTCCAGGTGGAAATTTGACTTACCACACCAAGTCTCCTTATGCTCGCATGACTTTTTTCTTTTGAGCAATGATATGATCTAGGGCATTGGAACGGACTTCATCAAGTTCTTCTAGTTCCACCAACATGGCATGTTTGTAATCTGCTGGAGTTAGCCTATTTTGGAAAGCCACCTTTGTAGACCTAATGGTCATTTCCATTGGAAGAACGGCATCATGTCCATAAGTAAGTATATATGGTGTGACACCCGTACTTGATCTTTTTGAATTCTTGTAAGCCCAAAGGGCCTCAGAAAGCAAATGATGACACTCCTTTGTCCTTTGGATGATTCTCAATCATCTTTTCTAAGATGTTAAGAATTACTTTGTTGGAAGCTTCTGCCTGTTCATTTACTTGGGCAAAATATGGAGTAAAACTGATTACTTGAACGCCACATTTAGCACAATAGTCAATAACCTCACTTCCAACAAAGGAAAGGCTTTTATCTATGGTGAGAGTCTCTGGAATTCCAAACCTGTGTATAATGTGCTTCTTGATAAAGTTAATCACTATTGACTGCTCATAAATCTTTAATGGAATGGCCTCCACCCACTTTATGAAATAATCTGTTGCAACTACCATATAAGTGTGGCCATCTGCAGATGGTGGCCTTAACTTTCCAATAAAGCCCAAAGCCCACCCTCTGAATGGCTATATTTTCACTATTGGCTGCATGTTTATAGCTGGAACTCTTTGCAGCGGGCCATGTTCTTGACATAAAATGCAGGTTTTTACAAACTCTATGCAATCTTTCAGTATACCTTTCCAATAATAACCGTACCTTCTAAGAAGCCACCTCATCTTGATTCCAGCTTGGTGTGCTCCGCATATTCCAAGGTGCGATTTTGCTATTACTCTCATGGACTCGTTCCTGCCAAGATATCTTAGCAAAAGTCCATCTTTACTCTTCTTATAGAGATCTCCATCAATCAAAATGTAATACGGTGCCAAAAGTTGAATTCTCTTGTCCACATTGGCATTAGGATTTTGCAAGAAATAAATAATTGGTGTTTTCCAATCATCCAAGTCTATACCATCTATATCAATATTGAAAATCTCCCACGTCTTCTTGGCAGGTTTGATTCTTTCTAGCTTATCAGCTTGGAAATGACCTGCCATCTCACACCGTGAGTCTATAGAAGGAAGAGTCCTTCTTTTGATTTTGATCAAGGTCTCTTCTACACCCGGTGGGACTTTTACTCGAGAGGCTAGTTGTGCTAGATCATCAGCCTCTGTGTTCAAATGCCTTGGCCAATACTTGAGTTGGAAGTCATCAAACTGGCAAAGTAATTCCAAGGCTAAAGAGTGGAAAGGCCTTAAATGCCAATTAAGATATCTATATTCTTCAGAAAGTTGGCTGAGTATCAAGTTAGAATCTCCAATAATCTGGACTTTATCCACCTTTAACTCTAGCAGGATTTCCAGCCCAATGATTAGTGCTTCATATTCAGCTTGGTTTTTTATACACTTGAAATCCAAGAAGAAAGAGAACGTGGTTTTTCTTCCTTTTGGTGAAATGATAACTATTCCAGCTCCTCCTCCGTCACGGGTGCTTGACCTATCAAACATGAGAGTCCAAGGTGTATAGTCAAGGTAAAGATTATCCACCTCGTCACATACTTCTGAATCTATCTTGGTAGAAGGGTGATCTACTAGCAATTCTGCCATCGCCCTTCCTTTAACTGCCTTTTGTGGAATGTACTTGAAAGAAAATTCCATTAAAACCAATAACCACTTTCCAATACTTCCAGTGATCAAAGGACTCAAAAGCATATACTTAATCAAATTTGTTTGAGAAATGATATACACGGCCACTGGCAACATATAGTTTCTCAAATTCATAGCCGCATAATATAAGAAAAGATACAACTTTTCAATGGAAGTGTACCTACATTCCACTGGAGTGAGCACCCTACTTAGATAATAGATGGCTTGCTCATTTCCCCATTCATTGTTCTGAGCTAGAAGAGTTCCAATGGATTCATCAGCGATCGATAAGTATAATCTTAAAGGTCGTTTCTTGATTAGAGGCATCATCACTGGAGGGTTGGCCAGGTAGCTTTTCAAACCTTCAAAGGCGTGCTGGTGCTGTTCTGTCCACTTGAATTCTTCAGCACCTTTCGATTTTAGCAATGGGGAGAAAGCATGAGTCTTTCCAGTATGGTTGGCAATGAATCTCCTCAAATATCCAACCTGGCCAAGAAATCTTTGTAATTCTTTCTTAGTGGTCGGTGGCTTTGCTTCAATAATTGCCTTTGCTTTATTTTGGTCTATCTCAATACCCCTTTGATAGACCAAGAAACCTAGGAAGTTTCCAACTGAAACCCCAAAGGCACACTTCAAGGGATTCATCTTCAACTTGTGCTGCCTCATCCTTTCAAAAGCCATTTTTAAATTGTGGAGATGTTGACCTTTAACTGAGGATTTGATGACTACATCATCAATGTAGACTTCCAAGAAATGGCCAATCATATAATAGAAAATGGAATTCATGGCCTTCTGATATGTTGCTTCGACATTCTTCAACCCAAACGGCATGATAACCCATTCAAAGGTTCCAATAGATCTTGGACATCTAAAAGCCGTCTTAGCAATGTCCTCTTTTGCAATATAAATCTGGTTGTACCTGGAATGTCCATCCATGAATGAAAGAATTTCATTATTAGCAGTAGAATCCACTAACTTGTCAGCAACAGGCATGGGGTATTCATCTTTTGAAGTTATAAGATTGATATTCCATAAATCCACACATACTCTTAGCTTGCCATTCTTCTTAATAACTGGAACTATATTGGAAATCCAGTCAACATACCTGGCAGTTCTTATAAAACCAGCCTTGTGTAGCCTTTTTATCTCTTCTTTGACCTTAAGAACCATTTCTTGGGACATCCTTCTTAGAGGCTGCTTGAAAGGCTTGAAACCTTCTTTGATTGGCAGCTTATGCTCTACCAGTTCTCTGGAAAGTCCTGGCATTTCCTCATACGTCCATGCAAAATAATCTTTGTACTCATGAAGTAAGGAAATTAATTCTTCTCTAAAGGTTGGTTCCAAAAGCTTACTAATATAGGTAGGCCGAGGGTCTTGCTCCGTTCCAAGGTTTAGTTCCAAAAGTGGATCTTGCACTTCGGCCTTAAGATCATCAAGCTTCATTGGCGCTGCCTTCAAGTCTGTTAGTTGGATAGCATCCAACTTGTCTTCAGTATCTTCCCTAATCTCCAAAACATTGGTTGAAAATGAAGTACTAGCATCTGCAGTCCTTTCCAGCAGTAGTTCGGCCAGATATGCTTTCAACCTGGCAAGGCAGCAATTAACCGCCTGGCCAAGTATTTTATCTTCTTTAGGCTTCCCTTCCATAAAAACTTTTGCTTGGAATGTAGTGCTGAACACCGGCCTTGGGTAAAACTATTGGCCTTGGTGTTCCTTGGAAGAGCTCATTTACATCCTCTTCTATGAGAGTCGTCTCATTGTAGCCTTCCTTGGACGGCTTATGCTATCTTTTCCAATAAATTTGATTGGAACGAATTCTTCGCTATATAATTCGGCGTCTGCATGGTAAACCCTTACCACAAATGGCCGGTTATCAGTCTCCACCACTTTTACCTCATCTCCATCGCAAAATATTAGCATTTGATGAAGTGAAGATGGAATGCAAAAGTTTGGATGAATCCATTCACGGCCTAAAAGTAAATTATAGGCCGCTGGGGACTCAATAACAAAGAAGGCTGTGATGGAAGTTCTATCTCCCACCGTTAACTCCAACGGTAAAATTCCTTGTGTTTTCACTATTCCTCCCGTGAATCCACTAATAGATACATCAGTTGGAATAATGTTTTCAGGTGACTTTCCAAGCATGTGCATGACATTGACTGGAATAATGTTCAGTACTGAACCATTATCCACCAGAACTCTTGCCAGGGGCTTTCCTTCCACCAGTACCTTGATATATAAAGGTTTGAGCTGCTAAGTCATACCATATGGTGGCTTTTCCAACACAATTTTCTTTGGCCTCGTGGGACTGTTTTTTTTTAATCATAACTCCCTTTAATTTTTGGAGATGTTCAGCTTCCTCTTCGAAAACTTCTTCTATATGAATACCATTATTCGGTTCCATTATGATTGGCCCAGAACTAGACTGTCCATGACTTTTTATGGGAGGACTTGTATCTACCACATCTTCTTCCATTGAATTGGACTGATTTGGCTGTGGCTCAAAAAAAAAAGGAAGAACCACTACCATATTGCAAGTAAATTCACCTGGAAGGCTCCTAAAACAGATTTTTTTGCTGCTGCTGGAACTGTTGGATATTTCCAAGTCTGTTCTATCTTTTGTAGGAGGGTCGTCCGCAGTCAAGGAATTTTCAACCTTTGAAACCAGATCCAATAAATCATCAGGATCTCTAACCCCTCTTTTAACTAGAAGTTTAGATAAGTCTGATGGCTTAGTAGTCTTCTTTAGCCAGTTGGACCAGCCATGGTCTTTCTCCTATAACCTTCTTCTATCAGCCCTTTTTCCTTTGCTGCCTTCACTTTTGTGTGCGAGTCAAATAAGAATGATCATGAATAGGAAACTTGGGATGATCAAGCCTTTTCCACCTCTCATTTTGTGAGGTAGGAGTCTTAACCATTCTTGGACGGAGATGCTTATTTCCCTTTCTAATTCATACTTCCGAAGCCATTTTTGGCCTAGAATAACTGTCACCCTTAGAGGTTCCGTCATACCATTTGCTGCTTTCATAACTTTTGCTAGGACGAGGCCTTGCCTCATAAGGAACCCTACTCCTTTCCAAACTCCTTGGAAGGAATTCTGGTCTCCTTTCTACTGGCCTTCTTTTAGTATAGACTCGGTTTTTCTTCTCTAGAATGGTTACAGTAACTGTGTTTTTCACCTTTTAAAAAGTTAGCCGGTCATGGATCTTCTTTTTCTGACCTCGGTCGTCATTGGAAAGCTTCTTTTTCTGCTTATTCTTTGAAAAATCACTTTAGCAACCTTCATTCTGAATTTTACACTTGGAGTAACAACCTTGCTGGATTAAGGCAATCTAAGCCTCTCGGAGTTATCTTTCAAACTTAGCCACTGTTTTCTCCATGGATGCCACTGCCTTAGGAATTTCCAGCTTTCCACTGACCACTGGACCTGTTAAGTCCACCTTCTTTTTAGGATGTTCCAGAACTATAGAAGCAACGTTTGTTGCAACTACCTTGGGGAAAGGATTTCCATCAACACCCATCACCTCTGATTTTTCTGGAAACTTCAGCTTGCCATCATCAATTGCTTTCTGCACAATATTACAAAAGACCACACAATTGTTAGTGGAATGGCTCTACACATTGTGAAATTTGCAATACTCCTTCTCGGCCATTTCAGAGGCCGTTGGCATCTTGTGGCCTGCTGTGAAGATCAGTTGCTTATCAGCCATGAGCAAATCAAAGATTTACTCGGCTTTGGAAATATCAAAAGAATAACTCCTGGAAGGATCTGCCTCCTTCCACTTGGAACTAGAGGCGGCCTACAAGTTAGCCGTGGCTGATTTTGGTTTTGCCAAAGCCTCACAAGTATAGGCCTTCTTTATGTTGAGCTCAGCTATATTAACTTCCAAATCTCCCTCTGTTTCAGTGGCAAACACCTCATAGTTAGGATCATGATAGTAAGTACCCTTAGAAGAAGATTTACGGTTTTGCTCTTCACAAAGGAGGTCTTTATACTTAGCCACTCTGTTGGCCAAATCAAATAAATCATGGAAATATACTCCTTCAAATTTCTTACGAAGCTCAAATTCCAAGCCATTAATAACCATTTTAACATACTCTTCTGGTGGCAAGGACAAATTGCATTTGTGTTTAGCCCTTCTGAATCTGGAAAGGAAACTGATCACCGATTCTCCAGATAACTGATGAAGTCTGGAAAGATCTGCCATGGACACCTCAGGCTCGGTACTATAGAACTGAGTATGGAACAAGTCCTCAAATTGCTGCCAACTTTGGATGGAGTTGGCTGGCAAGTTGGAATACCACCTGAAAGCATAGCCAGTCAATGTATTTGGAAACAAACGTACCTTCAGCCATAGATTGGCTGCTGCTTCTCCACATTGGACAGTGAAACGGCTAATATGTTCTAATGTGGATTGTTCACCCTCTCTATTGAATGTTGTGAATTCTGAAATTCTAAAATTCCTTGGATACTCAACTTCGTCAATGAACTCCGGATAGGGCTTTTTATAAGCTGGTCTTCCACCCTTTCGAGTTAGGCCAAATTCCTATTCGAGGAATTCTGTAAATTGGCCTCTATCAAGTGCCATGGGCTGTGAAAGATTGTTATCTGGCCTTAATTAAGGTTGGTTGACCCCTTGATGCCCCCCCACTTGCCATCGGCAGTGGGTTGGCGTCAAAAGGGTTATTCCTCCAATGGTTTCTTCTATCTTAGTCTGGAAGTAGCTCCCTTAGAAAAGGTTATCCCCCAACCGCCATCGGCATAGCCACATGTGGCTTTGGAGGTTTAGGTGCGGCTGGCTGAATGTTCACAGATGGAACAGTCTGCTATTTTTTATGAATATGGTAGGGCCATGGTTGGCCAAGCTGATCATGCCATATCCGCTATAGGAATGCCACAGTTGGAAAGTTCTGAACTTGCTGAGTGGCTGGCATGGGCACTAATTGTGGAATGGTCATCTGTGCCATTGGAGTGGTCACAGGTGCAACTGGAATGTATGTCTACACCATTGGAAGGGGCTGCATTTGTTGCTGAGTTAGAAGGAATGAACCTACAGGTTGTTGAGAGGGACTACCTTTAACAAAAGTAGCCGCCCTGCTGACTTGGAAGGCCGTCTGTTGAGTCTTTTCAGAATTGTTTGGCCGAGGGGCCATGGCTTGTGCCAAGCTTCCAATGGACCGCTCCAATGTAGACTCAAACCTATGAGAGATTTGGTCCACCATTTCTGCTAACTTTATCTCGTTAGCAAGAACAGCTTTTGCATGATCATGACTTGCCTTAGATTGATTTTGCGCAACTCTGGCTAAGTCTTGAGCGACTCTTGCTTAGTTTTGCGCAAACCTATCTTGTTGCATGGCCATCATGCGGATGTTATCCATGATAGGTCCATTTGCCATGGTTTGGGCAAATTTTTCCACCATGTCACTTTCATCAGGTGCAAACCGTGAACCTTTGATCGGTTGATCAACTAACATCAACCTTCGCAATAGCACGAATCATTGTAAAATAGGGCTATTGGTCGGGTAAGTCGAACCACTGGGACTGCGCTAATCTATGGCAACCTAAGTGTCTAGAGTCATTTTAGAGTGATAAGGGGTGTTCATAGAGGGTTTGTTTTGTTTGTCACTAAACTACAAATTCAGAATGCATAAAACAATAAATTGAAGGAGATTAAAAGAGAAGATTTAGAGAAGGAAGTCTAGGGAAGTGAATCCACTCTAAACCTCTACACAAGCTAATTATATGATTGATTTGGGAAATTAATGTAGAAATGACCTTGATATATAATAATACATGACTACTATAATATCTTCAAGAAATTCAATTAATTAAAGAGTAAGAACAACCTATCAAAGCTTCACATGGTTGAGTTACCTAAACTAAGATGCAACCCTAGACATGCTCACTAAGCTAGAGATTGTCAAACAATTAATCAATTGGTGGACGCACATGATATCAAGTCACAAGATTAACTCATCAAAAGAAATTCTTAAGCTATGGATTAACAAACTACTCAAAACCATACCATTAAAACCGTTCCATAATCTTAGTTCCATTGTCACTATGAAACTATAAGCCATACAACTATGAGATTAAATAATCTAAGACAAGAGTATGTAAATCAACATAGTCATTCAAACATTCAAAATCTTCATTATAATTTGTAACATGCTCTAGACCATGGAACTAGCCAAATATACATTTCATTCCCCAAAATAAATCAAAAATTAGACATGCTTACAAGGTAGAGCTTCATCACCTCCCTAGATGGAGGTTTAGTTACCCATTGATGCACTAGAGGAAGGAGGAAGCAAAGCCTTGACCTCCATTTTCGAGCTCCCCTCTTCTAGCTCCAAGAACACACCTTTTTTGCTCTCTTCTCTCTCCTCTATCTTCCCAAAATGAAGCTTAATGTATTGTGTGGCTTCCCTCTCTTATCTTCTAGAGATAAGGCTCAAAAAATCCCCACCAACCAACATCTCCAACCAACCATTAAAGAGGGAAATTAGAATTGAGGAACCCAAGATGTGAGTGGCTGAAAATGGGCCATTTACGGATGCAATTCTGCCCTAATTTCGAGCACTCGAAATAAGGGCTCGAGCACTCAAAATTGGAGCAAAATGCTCCATTCTTGCCTTGCTCCGCC